TGAAAGCTGAGTCCAAATTTGCGAGATCGTACATTTGTAGAGGAGAACACCCTAAAATTTTCAGTTTTTCAACTTTCGCGGTCCCCGAGATAATTTTCTCTGCCGAAACTTCCACTCGGATGCGCGGAAGCTGAATTTCGAGGGCCGCGGAAGCTGAGAAACTGAAAATCTTGGGGTGTTCTCCTCTACAGGAATGTATGTGAACAGAAGACATTACCATAAAATTTCAGCTCCCTTGCTTTTATGGTTCCCGAGACAATAATTTACCCGCCAAAACTTTCACAGGGCCGTGCGCGCGAAAAGGCTGAATTTAAATTTTCTAAGTCACGCGTAGGCAAGGAACATACCCATAATTTCAGCTTCCTGGCTTCTGTGCTTCCCGAGATAATAATTTACCCGCAAAAATTTCCACGAGGCCGTAAGTGATACCCGAGGACACGAGAACGCTGAATTTGAATAGGCAAGGTCGAGCGTGGGTAGGAGATTATTGCACTAAAATTTCAGCTTCATTTATTCAGTGGTTCTCGAGGATAATAATTTACCTGCAAAAATTTTCACAAGTTCATTCGTGTTATCCGCGGGCAGGAGAAAGCTGAATTTAAATTTTCTGGGTCGCGTGTGGACAAAAGACATGCCCACAAGGTTTCAGCCCTCTAGCTTCCGTGTTTCCCTTGATAATAATTTTACCCGCTCATACTTTTACGGGGCCGTACGTGTTACTCGCGGGTGCGGGGAGGCTTAATTTAAATTTGCAGAGTTACACGTGGATGGGGAACGTTACCAAAAATTTTCAGCTTCCTAGCTTTTGTGGTTCCTGAGTTGAAAGTTGCGGACAAGTTGCTGCGGAGACACACACAGACAACCTTGTGACAATATGCGTTTTGTACTGCTGTTACACAGCATAAAACGCATAAAAAACTGGGAAGGAATGTTTCAGTTCATTAAATACCACAGCATTTCTATTTCATTACCATAGCTGAACCTCGTTAGTACAACGGTTATGGCAAAATGTAATTAAGTTTGACAAAAGCTTTTTATAACAGCAGTACAAAACGCATATAGTTATAGGGTTGTCTGTGTGTGTGTGTGTGTGTGTCCGCAGCAACTTGTCCGCAACTTTCAATTCGGGAACCACAAAAGTTAGGAAGCTGAAAATTTAGGAGAACGTTCCGCACCCACGTGTGACCCCGCAAATTTAAACTCGTCCTTCCCGTACTCGTGGGTAACACGTACGGCCATGTGAAAGTTTGGGCGGGTGAAATTATTATCACGAGAACCATGGAAGCTATAAGGCTGAAATTTTGTGGGCGTGTTCCCTGCCCACACATGACCCAGAAAATTTAAATGCAACCTTCTCCTGCCCGCGGGTAACACGAATGGCCCCGTGAAAATTTTCGCGGTAAATTACTGCCTAGGGAACCACTGAATATACGAAGTTGGAATTCTAGTATAATAACTCCGTGCCCACGCTCGACCTTGCTTGTCCACATTCAGCGTCCCCGCGCTCTCGAGTATCACCTGCGACCACGTGAAAGTCTTGGCGGGAAATGATTGTCTCGGAAACCATAAGAGCTAGGAAGCTAAATTTTAAGGTAATGTCTTCTGTCCACATGCAGCCCTGCAGTTTTAAATTCAGCTCCCCGTGTGTTCGAGTACCACTTACGGCCCCGTGAAATTTCGACGGGACAGTGAAAATCATTAGCAGGCAGTTTTTCGGTGAGCGGAATTGGACAAAACGCATGATCACACCGGCTGCCCTGGTGCGCGCCGCTGTTTATTAAAATTTCTTTTAAAAAAGTGCATTATATATGTTGAGAGCTGGTAGGACATTTAAAAAGATTGGAAAGGTTTGACGAAAAGCGCCAATTAATTTATGAGAAGTAAAAGAACTTAATAAAAATGTTAAAAATAAAAGTCTCACCCCAGTCGTTCTTTTTGTTCTCGATTTCATATCCAATATTCGTCGTGTTGTTCGACCTATTAACATTGGTATTAGCTCATTGGTTTACTTATGAAACAGTACTTTAAATGCGACGGGGTTAACAGTAAAGATGGGATAATGTTATAAAAGTCTGAAGTATATATTTTAGTTATAATGTGGTGAGTGAAATAAAAATCACTTGCCCGTTTATATTCGTTTGCAGAAAGGAGGTAGAGAGCGTGCGTGAAAGTGGACGCATCGGAAACAAACATAACGCATAACGCTGGTGAGCCAGCGGTTAAATTAGTCACATTTCTGGCATTTATGTTTAACTTCATAAAAAGGCTTTTTGAAATGTCAGACATATCTGTGACACTTTTTTAGATAGCTTCAACCTTAATGGAGGCCGGTATGTGGTCGTCAATATGGCCTCAAGTAAACAGTCCAGAATGTCTGCGATTTTTCCTGCTTCTGCCGTCGTTTTATTTTTTCTCGTCGCCTTCCCGTGAAACCGTCATGGCAATTCATTTGCCATTTGCGCTTTGCATTAACTCACTTTCCGAGTCGAATATGAAGCTGCTGGGTAGGTTTTATGGATCTACGGAATTTTCTTGAAATTACTCTGGAGTTCCTGCCTAATTTCCTTTAAGTTCGTTGTTGACGGCCACGATGCAGTGAGATGTAGCACTAGTGTCGGAAATTGTATACTTTGCAGGTGTTGTATACTTCTTTTTTACACGGAGTATTGCTGTTTTCATGTAATTTTAGTCCATAAAAATACCACGATTAGGCCTTAGTCGGTAACGTCCACCTCATTTGCTAGGAATGAACAGCGTATGGTACGAGCTTGCGATACTCAACACATTCGTGGGACATATTGAAACGACTTAAAGCCTTACAAAGACACTTTGTTGAAAGAGCCACCGAACTAGCAATCCCTTCCGAAGGCGAGACCAAAGTCGAGGTAGTCAGTAGATTAGTTGCCAACCTAAGCGACACTGCTCAGAGTAAATAAACAATCATCTTCTGCATAGTTGAGGGATTAGGCTATGAATTAGGAACTGTTCGAAGCACTCTGTAGTTTTCTGCCTTATCGGAGGAGCTCGACATGCACTAATATTTTCGTTGCGGTTTTTTTAGAAAAGTGGTGGGCGTCGATGGAGCGGCGACATTTTAATCGCTTAGTATCGTCACTGATGAAAGCGCTATATGTAATCACAGAGAAAAAGTTGTCCACGCCTGAAGCTTTATGTATATTACTTTCATGGCTGAATACCATTAACAAGTCCAAGAAGCTGATCCCATGTGACAAGTTCTACCTGCACAATTTACAGTCGGAAGTGGATATGTCCAATGATTTTGCACAGTGGGCATATAAAGTGAGTTGTTTTTTTCTCTGGTTCATTTCAAATTAACCGTGACGGAGGGAATCATGGGAAGTTTACATTCAAGTTATTACCTTTAATGAAGTAGCATCACTTCTCCTTGCATGGCTCACGTACTTTCGAAGCTTTGCTTTTTTAGGCTTCGAAATTTATGGATAAGGCCTGTAATTAATAATTCTGGCATTGTATAACATTTTCAGCGGAAAAAGGGAACTTTTTATTGGTCAGACTATCCGTTCCTATGGAATGCGGAATTGAAAACTTACCTGTTGCAGTATGAAGCCCATTTACAGATGGAGGTATTCCTTTTCATTGAATTCTTTCACGTGAAACAGGAACTGGAAATGATCATTTTTTCAAAAGTTGTGTTACTTTTTCACTCGCTAGCTGTGTGAGAGAGCAGTGGAATGCTCGAAGTG